CCGGCGTTAACCGGCCGCTTGTCCGCTCCGCTCTAGGGCGGGCCGGTGGAGATCCTGCCGTTCCTCTACCTGGGCAGCGCCTACCACGCCTCCCGCAAGGACATGCTGGACGCGCTGGGCATCACGGCGCTGATCAACGTCTCGGCGAACTGCCCCAACCACTTCGAGGGGCACTACCGGTACAAAAGCATCCCCGTGGAGGACAACCACAAGGCAGACATCAGCTCCTGGTTTAACGAGGCGATCGATTTCATCGGTAAGTGAGCTCTCTTCAGCCTGTTTCTGGGTGTCGCGTACCCTGGGAAGCGATTTTCAGGCATTGTTTTTGCTGGTGAAACCTACATCTGAGATGGGGGGTTCCGCTCTGTAGCGGGGAGGTACCCGGGGAACACTTCCATTGATTTACTCAGCTCAGGGGAATAATCTCAGTTTTGCGAAGCTGTCTGCCTCTTGATTTGAGATTTCACTGGTCTTGCAGAAAAGAGCTAGCAAGTTTAAGCGGATTGGTATTGAAGTAATCTTGCAAGACTGGGAAAGTGACCTGGAGGAGCTATTAGTGTAATTGGAATTGGAGCCCAGAAAGAAAATAGCTGGATGGCTGATTCCCTCTGGACAAAGGCTCTCTTTGTCTCAGAAGAACCGGGTGCACCTCTTAGGCTAAGGAAGGGATGGATTAAATAAATGTATAACACCAGCCTGTGCTTTCCCACCTCTGGAAGCAGTGGGACTCATTTGCTAACTGTGTGTTTTACTTTTTTCAGACTCTGTTAAAAATGATGGAGGAAGGGTATTTGTGCACTGTCAGGCTGGCATTTCCCGGTCAGCAACCATCTGCCTTGCTTATCTCATGAGGACCAACAGAGTCAAACTGGATGAAGCCTTTGAGTTTGTAAAGCAGAGAAGAAGCATCATCTCGCCAAACTTCAGCTTCATGGGGCAGCTGCTTCAGTTTGAGTCGCAGGTCCTAGCCCCCAACTGCTCAGCAGAAGCTGGGAGCCCTGCTATGGCAGTATTGGACAGAGGAGCATCGACCACCACGGTCTTTAACTTTCCAGTCTCCATCCCTGTTCACACCTCATCCAGTGCTTTAAGCTATCTTCAGAGCCCCATCACCACTTCCCCAAGCTGCTAAAAAGTGGGTGAAAATATGGCCAGAACTCTGACTTACTGTCTCAAAGTGCAATAACTATGGGGACAGTGTCATCAGTCACTTGTATTTTGTGGGGAACCATCCATACATCCCAGAACAATGTCATAAATGGAGAGGAGCTCACCAGATGCCCGACAACTAGGTGTTACTGACTCTTCTGCTGACCTTAAAGCCAGTATCTGGATGTCTACATAGAGATCAAAGGATGCTGTCTCTTCCTGAGCTGTTCCTCCTTGTCTTCTGTCTGTCCTAAGCCTGCTCCATGTTCAATAGCATGCTCACCAGTATTCCCATTCCTGGACACTGAGTAACACTGATGCTGTCCCCTTTTATATGACAGTCCTATTTATTTTTACATTAGTGCATTGTTTTTTTGCCTTCACAAACCTAAAGTTTCATTTCTAGAGAAACCAAATACCTCAGTATTTTTTGGTACTGTAATTCTGTGTGTGCATATATGTCAGCTTTTCTTGTTTCCTGAGCACTGACGTGAAAGCACCAGGCGAGTGCTTTTTGAGTTGCCAAGGGTTGTATGTTTGCTGATTTATTTATGATGTGAAATAATATATTTCTTCTTATGAAGACATAGTTTTGTTACATGATTATAACTTTTTTATACAAACAGAATAAATTATGATATTTCTATTGAGCTGGATGATACATTCTTTAAAATCTTGCATTTTACAGTCCTGAAACTCACGGCGAAGCTCTTGGGTGAAGAGCAGTAAGAGAAATCTGAATTTTCAACTCTGCTGGCCTCAGGTCTTAACTGAACTACATAGAAAGAGGGGTTTAAGCAACATGATTGACTGGAAACTCCTGCTGTTTCCTAACCTGAGCTTTTCTTTGTCCCAGTGTAATTATATGCGGTGGCAAAGAGCCAAGGCTAGCTTCTCGGCTGTAAGGTGGATTTGGCTGCGATGGTGGCCACAGAGCTGTAATAGTTTGAACCAGCTGAGACTTGGGTACAGTGCTACAGTGAATTTAAAATAGTCCTTCTCCTAGGAAGGAGAAGAAGCTTCCTTATTGCTTGTTTACTTCTAATGCTTGAAAGGTTAAGTCTAAAAATTAACCTGTTGGTAACAGATCTCCCATACTTGTGAGGTTTGTGCCAAGGTGTTTTCTTTTTCTGTCCCACCTCCTTGATTCCTTTTTGCAACTCAAACTGTCTCTGATCCCTGGAGTGAAGTATATGGCTTGCTAGGCTGTCTCTGTAAACAAATCGGGGCATAACAAGAGATCAGGTAACCAACAAGTCACTTGTTTTCTTACCCAGACCCAAATAAATTATCTCCTGCTGCAGATTCTCACTGGAGTGACTTTTACCTGGCACTTCAGTGGAGGCGATGAGAAGAGTTTTCCGTAGTGTATCAAAAGCCAGGCAGGGAGCTGTTGGTGGCCGGTGCTCCTGGCAGCTCGCGGGTGGGAGCTACGGGATGAGGATGATGGGCAGCAGATGGTGCATGGTTAATGCTGTGTGGTGCGGCAGAACTGCACATCTCCAGGGGGTGTGTATGGGGGGAGCAGCGTTGCTGTGACATGACCTTACCAGGGGAAGCTAATGTGGAAGAAGTGCAGCCGGGAGCTTGCTTTCCTAGGCAGGGGGATAGTACTGGTAATGGGGAGCTGGATGCCGGGGGAGCACTGGGACATCAGGTGTCCTACAGCCGCTCCAGAGGGGAGCCAGCAGTACTTACATCTCTGGTATTCAAGGAGTCAGATCCTACTTTTGCCCAATCAAAAATGGTTTTGCTTAGGGAGATACAGCAGGTTATGATTCTTTGTTGAAAATCAAGGCATTTTAACAGTTATGCTCCTAAGCTTGTTGATGAGGGGTTTTTAAAGCACGAAGCAGCTGTGCTCTTGGCGCGGAAGTGGAGACAAGCAAAGCACCACAAACTGCTGAGATCCAGGAAGTTACCTGGAGTATTAATGGCGCTAAAATCCAGGACTCTTCTCCCGGGAGAAGGTGCCCTTGAAGGATGGGCTGATGCACTGCTGCATCTGAAATTCGTCCACGTGAGCTACCCCTCCGACGCAGCTCTGTCGTCAGCACTGCGCGTCAGCCATCGCCAAGCTTCAACCTGACACCACGGGACAAAAAAAAAAATGGAGCAGCTAAAAGGAGAAGAGCTCCCTGGGCACTAAGAAATGAAGTTAGAAACCCTTATTTTCCCAATGCGTGCTTAAACCTCAAAGTGAATATTCCCAAAGTCTGCCCCGTCCTGCAAATCCTGCAAAACCCCTGCTTCCATGGAAAGTCCCTTGGCAGGTCGTGTTGCTCTGCAGGATTGCACCTACCACTGCTCTCCCTGTAGAGCACAGAAGACTATTTCTGAATACGTGAGCTTTTTTACACCTGCAGTAAACAGTGGAACAAACTTTCACCTTCAAAGCAAAGCAGAGCTTGTTCAGTGGAAAAATACAACCTTGGCAGTGCTGGCCACGCAACTGATAAAAAAAAATCCTGCCTGTTAATCACAATTCAAACAGAAATCCGCTCCCCGTCAGCCGGGGGAGCTTGTTTATGTGTTTCTTGGAACAATAAAACTCATTACCTGGCAGCCGATCAGCTTTCATAACCTAAGCAGGCACCTGACAGAGAGGCGCACAAGAGAGCTGCTTCAGCACAAAGCCCGTTGCGGAAAAGCCAGCCAGCGACAGCAGGGCTTCGCTCCCAGCGAGGCACCGGCAGGCACTTCCAGCTCGGTGGAGATGCGATGTCCTTTTCCAAGGCTGCATCGCCAGCCTTCTGCTGTCAGCCGTAATCAGTGGTGGTGCCCAGAGCCCAGACTCCCGCAAACTCTCTGTGGACAGGACTGCACCCAGCCCCGACAAGGGGAGGATAAGGGGGCAAGAACAGCAGCGACAAGTAAGAGAGTTCAGTGAGACCTGCAAACATCACCTCAGTGCCAGAGTTTTGGGGAGGAAGGTGGGCTCAGCTGGGGGGTCTGCGTGGGGCGTCCGGCGTGGTGGGGAGCAGGGGAGGAGGTGTGAGCCGGGTAGGAGGCACGCGGGGCTGAGACGGGCAGGGGCAGAGCGTGTGCATGGCAGAGCTGGAGGACGCCTTGGCAACACGGCTGAGCTGGACTTTGCCTGCTGTGGATGCACTAGGGAGGTGTTTGCCCTTCTCCCCCCTCATTTATTCTCCCTGCTCCGCTGTTTTGTTTGTTTGGGATAAGGCACGTGGTTCACTGTGGTTTGCAGCACTGAACTCCCGTTTCCCCCGGCTCCCCGACAAGCCGGCTGTCCCCCTGCGCTAGCGGGGCTCGGGCGAGACCCTGCCCCTTGTATCCGATCCAAGACCCCTAGAAACCCGGCACGCGATGGGCGTATGTAGGGCTTTCAGCTTATGTAAACCTGTAGCTCTACAGTTGCCTACATCCCCATGGAAACGGTGAGGAGTTTCCCCTTGGTGAGGACGGCAGTAATGTCACTTCCTGCTGCCGACAAACCCGTTTGTCACCAAGTGATCGAAAGGCGTGTTTTGTGTTTGCAGGAACTGGCTCCAGGCTTTGTTCCTCCCAAGCCAGAGGCTGCTCACCTGCCCCGAAGGCAAACAACGGCCATGGTGCGCTGCGCAGAGCAGGGATGGGGAGACGCAGGCAAGCCCTTTGGGCCCCCAAAATGCCAGAGCATGGACCACTGACACCCCAAAGGTTGCACAGCGTGCAGAGAGAGCGCAAGTCATGGCAGTGTGTCACCCAGCGCGGCATGTGGGGCTCCACACAGCACCCGTGGATGGGTCCCCACAGCCAAGGGATGTACGCAGCCAACCCACGTGGGGACACAGCACATAAGCCGCGCGTAATATCCCCAGCAAGATGCAATACCCAGGGGATATGGTATACCCAGTTGTCACATGACAAACAGACACAGAGCTCCAGATTAGACTCGTCTCGGGTAATCCCCTTGTCTCAAAGCTTTTGCCTTTCTTTTGTAATCAGCGCTTCGAGAGGCGCTGGGTGTACTCAAGCTTAGGGACTATCCTGCATTAGTCACCCCCGGTATCAGACTAGCAGGGCCGCAAGGATGTATTATGCCATTACGTTGCAAAAAGAACATTACATCCAGACCATACACAGGCAAATCTACTTTGCCTGGTTACCACCTGGGTTTTTTCCTCTGTCTGGCTCCAAGGCAGCAGAAAGGGCACTGAGAGTCATTTGGAAATGGTGTTGAAGAGCAGCCCCAGAGAGTCCGCTCCCCAGCCCCGCAGAGTCGCAGTGCGATGGGGAAGGAGAAAAGGTCATGGTGTGGGACTGTCTGGTGTGGTTAGAAGTCACTACGCCTCAAACCTCATCTGAACCTGTTTCTTACCCTCTCGCTTGTCCAGCAGCAACGTCCAGGACAGACCCCTATGCACAGTGTAGCCCATGAGACTCCACTCAGGGTTTTGTATTCCCCAAATCTGCTCCAATCCAAGGCTGTGGGTAGGTTCGAAAACAGCTAAAACCTGGGCTCGAACCCACTTGTGCTGGAAGAACAAAGTAGCCGTGAGGTTTGGACTGCGTGTGGCCTTCCTGCTACATGCTATTTACTACAGTGCAAAGCCAGCGGCCATGGCTGATGGGGCTTTGGCAGCCCTGCTGAGAGCCATGGCCAAGGTGCCTGGCCAGGTGGATCTCCTTAGCACCCATCAGGAGCATAAAAGGTTAAGTGGGACCAAGCTGTTAAAGGAGGGAAAGCAGCCCTAGAGGGAGGGACCTGAGACCTTGGGGAGAAGCAGGATCTGCTGATGCTCTGCTGATTTAATGGGCATTGCTGGGAGGACTTCAGCCTGCTGGGGACCTGACTGGGGGTCTGCCTCAGGGCTGTGTCCTGCCTTTGCTCAGGGTGAGGGCAACCTCCACGGGATGAGCTCTGGTACCTGGAGGGGGCAGTTGAGCCGCTCTGCTGCTGGGCTGGGTTAAGGATTCCTGGTTTAGAGAGCTGTTTCCCATCTTGGAAGTGCAGTGGTACAAACCTGCGTGAGAGCAGTGCTAAGGTCCTACGTGGACCTG